GGCTTATTGAATATAGCATATATTTGTTATTGAAGTGATTCAAGTGTATATCGTATATGCGTAATATTGACGTGATCCAAGTGCAGTTTTGATTTGCTATATAGCTGACTTTGCTGCTGATTTCTACTTTTTTGATAGCATTACACAGTGTTCTAGAGCAAGTGCTTTCTTATCAGAATACTTTGTTTGTAATTCGTTGAGGATTATCCTTATTATCACCCATAATCATTGGATCACTTACTTTAATGCTGACATGAACGCTTCTTCAATTCAAAAAAGAGGAATTCTGTCCGCGCAGAAAACACCCGCTGGTTCATTGTTGCCCATAAATGTGTGCGGTGTCCTTGAGAGATGAAATTCCTTCCTTCCTTTGTTCAAGTTTGCTATTCAGCCTTTTTGATGTGTATGCTTCTTCTGCTGAAGTTGCTTATCTGATCACTTTTAATTATTCTTAATTTGTTGCAGGATCTTTGACGTGAATCTTTCAGTGGCTTTCTGTTCAAATATTTTCTTTTATTTCAGGTGTAATCAAATGTTACTAATGTACTACTTACAATAGCCAGAATTACACTTTCACCTTAGTTCAGTATGCAGGAAGTACTCACTATATCTGTTTTCTGCTTGGTTTCCTTTCCTGCTTTAGGTTTGTTCATCATTGTTGTTTCTCTGTGTCTGGGTATCCCATTCTAATATGTTTCAGTGCTTTCCTTAAATAATTTCGTCGATAACTTCGAAACACTGAACTACCGTACTCTAAATACAGCACGGAGAAAACGTTCGCAAGGATATGGGGAACCTATAAGTTTAAGATTCCACGCTTATAATAGGTTAGTTCATTGAGTATCGTTCATTGTGATATTTTATTTTATTGCAAATTCTGAATGAAAGTTGCAAGAAATTTATTCTATAAAAAATTCAAAGAATTTCCATGTTTTTTTTCCCATTTTTTAGTTGTCTTTGTTATTCTCGTTGCTCCCATGTTCATTTATTCCAGAACCTTTCACCTCAACTTACTACCATTGGATGAATATAACGAACATTTCCATCCAGATCATATCCTAG